ACACCTGTCAGTCACACTGTCCCCACACCTGTCAGTCACACTGTCCCTGTACCTGTCACACTGATCCCATTGTCAGAGTGTGGCTTTGGCTGTACACTGTTCCCACCCTGAAGGCTTTTAAGATAAAATGACTTACCTTAACTAATTAAGGTAATTCAGGGAAGGCATCGAGACACTTTACCCCCAAATCCTTCCGTTTCAGCTCTGAAAATCAAACATTTTCTTTCACAGGCACAGTGCCAGCATGGCACCTAACAAATATTTTGTTAATATTTCTCAAAATCTGATTTGTATTGGCATTTTTTTCTGGACAGAACCCTAAATGTCTTTTAAAAAGAGTGAGCTGACCCGGACCCCTGGAGTTTTGGAATTCTCAAATCTCCTCAATTTAGGATTAGCTGCTTTTAACGGGGAGGGACTTTGCCTCCAAAGGGATGAAGGTGACGCATCATCACAGCTGGTCTGCGCTGGGTGCTGGGAGCACCCATGGGGCAGCATCAGTGCCCTGACATCCGCCCCTGGACGGTCCAGTCCAAAGCCCCAGCATCCGGGTGTCTCCCCACAGGTCACTGTCCACTTTGACACGATGCTGACCTCTAACGCCCAGCTCCGGAAGGAGATTGAGGATCTCCTCTTTGAGAAGGCCGCCTACGACCACGTGTACCAGCAGCTCCAGCGGCGTCTGCAGATGCAGAAGAAGACCATGAACATAGCCATCGAGCAGTCCGCCCAGGCCTACGAGCAGAGGTGCTTGGGGGAGGCGCCGCTCCCAGCTCAGCACCCACTTTGCTCCTCTTGAATACCAGGGCCATAAGTTGCAGTAGCAGCACTCCTGGACACTCACCCTGTCCCCGGCAGGGTGCTAGGCACCTAGGCACTTCCATCACCCTCCCCGCAGCCTGAGGAATTAGTGTCTCCCTTTTTCTCAGAACCAACAAGGAGCTCATGCAGGACATTGCCGATGAGAGATCTGGGATTTCAGCGATCTGTCCCCTACATGGTCTCTGGTCCTGGTCTTGGTGTCTTTCTCCAGTGAAGTCTTTTCTGGCACAGAATGAGGCTGTGGAGAGAACAGGCCTTAGAGTCAGACATGTCTGGGGATGACTCCTCCCTCCACCACATCTGGATTGTTATAGGATGCGTGTAAAGAACAGAAA